CCAATTCTTACCAGGATTTGCTACATCCTTTAACTTCCTGCCTGGCTTTTCGCACTGTCCTGTGTTAAAGCTCTGGGCCCATCTCTACTCGCTGCCCTGAAGGGCCTCCTAAGGCTCCTCACCTGCTTCCCCTGAGGTAGATTCCTCCTCAGGCTAGGTAACCTCGGCCTCCAGGAGCACAGTGTCCCTTGTCCCTTAAGCCCACCCTCCTTGTACAGTGGCGTCTGACGTAGCATGTGTGCCCTGTCTGTGCATCCACGCCAGGCCTGGCTTCTATGAACCTGTCCTGGCCCGGGGTGAGCCCGCTTTTCACTGAGTCTTTTCCATAACTGGAAGAAAGGGACCCTGTGTATTCCCTCTCCCTGGGGAAGAGCTGGGGACAGGTGTCACCTCCAGCAGGAGTTGGAAAACTAGGAGTGTAGCTGTCCCTCACCTGGATTATGGGGTGGCCTCTGCTTATCTTGGTTCAGGAACAGTCCAGCACATCTCCCCTGGTCCAGCAGCAGGTTTGACTGAGGGCAGGTGTGGAGACCTGTGCCAGGCGTGGGAAGGCTCTGCACACTCTCTGACATCTCTCTCTCCCTAGGGGTTCCAAGTAGCCTACGTGGTGTTCCAGAAGCCAGGTGGAATGTTGGCTGCCTTGACCATGAAGGGCCCTTTGCTGGTCTCGACAGAGAGTCATCCTGTGAAGACTGGCATTCACAGTCAGTACTGCTGGTCGAGGCCAGCGCCTCCTTCCTGGGCTCTGGGTGGGCAGGGGCAGCTTTATGGGGGCAGCGTGTGCGAAGGCCGCCAGCCGCATTACTGTCCCCAAGAGCAGTGTATGAGAGGCCTGAGTGGACGGGCTGCTGGGCTTTGTCTGGACAGCTCAGGGAAACGTTAACCTGAGCCTTTGGCACCAAGTGGCACAGGCACGCGGGGTGGGCAGAGCTGCAGGCCCAGCCTGCCACCACTAGAATCTTCCTTGATACCTGGGTGATCCCTGTCACAAGTATGGTCTATGAGGCCCTGTGTCAGGTCCGGCTCGCCTGGCAGGTCCTGGGGTGGGGTCAGATCAGCCTGAGGAGGCTCCGTTCCCTTGCTCCCTTCTCTCAGAGTGGATCAGTGACTACGCAGATTCGCTGCCTGACCCCGAGGCCCTGAGGGTCGAAGTGGACACGTTTATGGAGGCGTATGACCAGAAGATAGCTGAGGTAGGGGCTTCCGCGGGGCCTGCAGAGCAGTGCCCATGTGGTGTAGGAAGATGGTTCCCAAGGGGAAGGGGTGGCAGCCTGTCTGTCTTTGGTCACCTGCGGAGTCCAGGCTCCTTTTTATCCCTCCTGTATCCTGGGCCACCTGGCTGGGTGACGCTCGTCTCTAAATGGTCTGTATGGGGAGGTGGCAGCGTTGGCACGTCTGTCCCTCCCATACTTAGCTCTAACACTGTGTCGTAGGGATGCAGGGGAGCATCAGGGGGGGGCCAGGTGGTTCTGACCGTGGGGAGAGGATGCGGGTAGGGGGGCTCCTGCAGGCTTTGGGGCTGGCCCAGGAGCACCCTGCTGCCAAGGGGCCCGCGCATGCACAGGGCTGTGGTCCTTCCAGGAGGAGGCTAAGGCCAAGGAGGAGGATGGAGTACCTGACGAGGAGGGCTGGGT